CAACAAAGAAGCCTTAACAAAAGGGGCATCAGAATATAAGCTTTTGGAAGCCATGTCCCCCTCTTCCACTAGTGCTTAAGCCACAGAAGAAACTTGAATTAAGTTGAATTCCCAGACTAAATAATTTCTATTTCCATCCCTGGGGAGACAGAGGGAGAGACAGATCAAGAGAATATATTTTTAAATGCTTAGTGAAACTGTGTAGTTTGACCAGCACGTTCAAAGAAATATAAATCTCTCTTTCTCTCTGATCATATATATAAAATCTCTTCCATTTGAACAGGTTGATCTATAAGCCATTCTTTCCATGTCATTTTTCTTCCTTCTTATAGAGACCCTGTGTGAATCATTGTGGCCATAAAACTATATGACTGAACACTGATAATTACCTGACTTTTAACTGGAAGAGAACAATGTTTTAGTCCTCCACCTCCTGATGGAGCCGTCTTACTCAGCCATAGATCTCCTGTCAGTGTACTGCCAAGAGTCGGGCTTCCCTGGCCAGAGGGGCCGACTGTCTGTCTGTGGAAGACTCAGAGGGGCAGCTTGCTCAAGCTGGGCCTCTGCCTGGCCAAAGGGGGCGGCCCTGTCCCAGAGCTGGCAGCACCCCGGCCTCCCGCACCCCCACAGGCTCTTGGCCAGACCCCGTCTGCCTGACCCTGCAGGGGGACAGGATGCCTGGGCATACAGGGACAAACCCTCCCCCCTTCCACTCTGACGTGACATCAGCCGGCACAAGAAGTGCCAAAGTACAGGAGATTGGTTTAATAACTGTGATTTCACCTGTTTCCTCAAAATAAAAATGATGTGCCTTCAAATTACAACATGTTCCCTTCATTATATTGAACACAGTATTCATGGGAGAGCAGTTGCCGCGGCAGCTCCCCACTAAGTACCTTCCTTCCAAGTGCCCTCAGATGCATTAGCTCGCGGGAACCTGACCCTGGGGGGAGACTGTGCTATTATGACTCTCGTTAAAGCCCTGGAAACGGGTCATCAGGTCATCACACTGGATGCGACCTGCAGGGTCAGAACCGAAAGCCCGCTCTCTTCACCCTCACAATCCCACTGCGTGCACTGGGGAGAGGAAGTCTGTGTGGCATTTTTTAAAGAATAGTTAGTATTTTTTTTCTCTGATTACAGAAGTAATGTGTATTCATGAAAAAAAAAAAAAGAAGAGGAAAAACACAAAGCACTAGAAAGAAAAGAAAATCACCCATATTCCCAGACCAAAACAATGACTGCTATTAACATTTGGATGTGTAATCTCATACGTACATTTTTCTCTAAAAATGGTTTCCCACTCTGCACGCTATTGTCAAATGACATTTCTTTCATTTTCTTCCCAATTATAAAGGTAACACACGCTTATTATAGGGAAACCAGAAAACATGGATGATCACAAAGAACGTCAAAACCATCCTGTAAACCCACCCACCAAGAGGCAACCATTGAGAAGTACTTTATTGAACTTGGCATTTAGGAAGGCCATAAAGTTGCAACACGCCCCAGAGGCAAGGGTAAGATGTTTCAGGGAAGATTAAGGAACCCATTCTCCGCCATTTGGAATCTCAGCTGAATTGTCTGGAATGAATGTCTCTTTATTCCAGCTTCCCTGTTCATAAATACAGGCAAGGATTTCCAATTAACTTCACAAGAATATTTCGGGGATCAATGATATAACATTGGTTCGGAGTTTTGAATGTTCTGAAAGAAATCTATAATCTCCAGGCCGTGAACCGTACTTATTCAATTTAAGTCTCTCCTCGCCAGGCCAGACCACACGGAATTGGGGCCACATAAAAACAGCAGAAGGTGGTTTGGCTGGAGATACACACTTCAGCTTTATCTAGGCCAGGGAATGGAAGGAATTGACAAAGCAGAGAAGAATGTGGAAGCCCGTCCTTCTTCTGTAGAGGCAAAACCACCCAAGCCACATGCATGCACAGGTGCTCAAATCTCTACGAGGGAGACAGCTCTCTATTCTAGGACACACACACTGATTTTTCTTTGAAATCTTTTTTTTTTTTTGCTCTCTCTCTCTCAATTTCCTTGAAAATGATAGTCAGCGTGCAAATGGTCCACCATCTAACTCAATAACTATCTTAATCATATAGCTGTACCTACATAAATACACATGATGTCTTAGCCAGCCAAATGGCAGCACCAAGATGAAAGTAATTTGCTGCAATAGAACATAAAGTCTCAATGGTAACCCCTAAGTCAGGTGGATTTCTTGGTCATGGCCTCAAGCACTCAGGTCTGTGTTACCTGGCTAAGATAAAACAGAACAAACTAACTAAACAAATGAAAACATTAAGCATACTCCCAATGTATACAATGCCCTGTTAGCTCATACATGCGCATGCCGTGTGTTTCCCAAGGCCCGCTCCTTCTCCTCAAAAGGCCTGTGTGTTTATGGCAAACGACACCAGTGTCTACCCAGTTGCCCCTAAGCCACATTCCTCAGCATCGTTCTTGGCACCTCCCTCTTGCTCATTCCCCACGTCCAGTGAATCACCGAGCCCTGCTGATTCTATCTTCTATGTCTCAATTTTAGTATATGTGCTGCCGAAGCGAGCACTCTTTTATGTCTCAAATCCTCACTTTCTTCCACCCCCACTTCTGCCAGCACAAGTCCAAGCCGCAGTCATCTCTCATGTGGTCCATTGCTCTCGACTTCTCGGTCGTTCGCATTTCCACTCTTGCCGTTCCCCTGCCAGAGCGATCCTTCCAAAACACAGATCTGACAGTGCTACCCTCTACTGAACACCCTCCAATGGTTTCCCATAGTTCTTTGAATCAAAGAATCCTTTCCATACAGTAAAAATCACTCTTGTGAGTGCATGATTTTGACAAACCTACATAGTCATGTAACCATCACAGCATTCAAAATAGAGAACAGATTGCTTTTGTGATTAAAAATAAAGCTGTTATATGTTAAAAAAAAAAAAAAGAAGAAGAAGAAGAAGATAGTAGGAAGGGAAAAATGAAGGTGGGGAATCGGAGGGGGAGACGAACCATGAGAGACTATGGACCCTGAGAAACAAACTGAGGGTTCTAGAGGGGAGGGGGGTGGGAGGATGGGTTAGCCTGGTGATGGGTATTAAAGAGGGCACGTATTGAATGGAGCAGTGGGTGTTATATGCAAACAATGAATCATGGAACACTACATCAAAAACTAATGATGTACTGTATGGTGACTAACAAAACAGAATAAAATAAAATTTAAAAAAGGGGAAAAAAAGATCTCTTATGAAACAGTGCAAAAAAAATAAAGCTGTTATAAAAACTCAGGGTTGTGTGTGTGAAAGTAACTTTTCCTTCTATTTGGGTAAATACCGGGAGTGGTATTTCTGGGTTGCATGACAAATCACATTTAACTTTGTAAGTAACTGCCAAGCTGTGCTCCAGATGGGCTTGTACCAGTTTGCTTTCTTATGTTGTAGGATTGAGTCTGAACTCAATTTGCCAGGGTCCTCCTCTTCTGCCTCCGGTCTTTCCCTCCACCCACAGCTCTCTCCACCACCCCACCCCTTCCACACCCCTTCAGCCAGCTACGCTCAACTTCTTTCACTGTTACTGCTCTACTCATCTCTGGGGCTTCCCACATGCTGTGTCTTTGGCCCAAAACACTTGCGCACACCCCCTCCTTACCTAAGCCTCGTTTATATCTGACCAACTCATTGGCTTAAATGTCATCTCTGTCAGGAAGTTCCCTGAGCCTAAATTATTTCCCCATGTACTCCTTTCATTTCGTCATTCAGCAAAGGTTTAACCACCAGGATCTAGGTTCTGTTGCAGGCACCAGGGAGATGGCAGGGAGCGAAGCAGACAAAAGTCCAGGCTCCTCTGGAACTGATAGACAATGGCCAATATCACCACCAACAAAACGGATATATACTAGAATGTCAGGTGGTAGCAAGGACTATAAAAAAATAAAATAAAGCCGAGCCATGAGCAAAACCAGAGTAGAATGTGGGGCTATTTCAGATAGGCCATCTGGAGGACACCTCTCTGGGGTATGAGTGATAAAAGGGAGCAGCTCTGCAGTCCCTGGGGAAAGGTAATCCCAGGCAGAGTGAGCAGCAAGGACAACCATGTGAAGGTAGAAAAGAAGAGGCGTGAGGAAGCTGCCATGTTCAGGAAGCAGCCTGGGGTCCCTTGGCAGGAACCCATGAGCCAGGGAAGAGTCCCAGAAGACGAGGCCGGCAAGGGGCCAGGGGCACGCCGCACCCCGTCACAATGCTTAGGACACTGCCTAGGGCTACTGCTTCCTAAGTTGCTCATCTTTCCCATCCGGCTCTGTGCTCAGTGAGGCTCAGATTGTGTATCCTGCTCATTACTGACTGCAAGCACTTAGCACGGTACCGGCCGTGCTGTAGGTTCTTAATAAATCTTTGACTGGACGAATAAGTGGATGAAACACTCAACCACATGAGGTCCCTTGCTTGCATGACAAATCCCTGAGAAGACGCATGAGCCCACTGGTGGAGAAAGGGAGGCTCAGAGGGCTTGACATGACTTTCACCGAGGGAGAGGTGAGGAGCACGGCTGGAATTCAGCCCCCTTCACAGTACCTGCCCTGTTTGTCCTGGGCCAAGAAGCAACACACTCTCATATCCAAACATCTTTCTGCCTATCCTTATTCTCTGTCTGCTGACCGGGAATTTGAAAGAATCCTCATCTACAGGCAGTAGGTTTGATGCCCCATAACCCATGCTTCAGGGCCATGGTGGAGGGAGCTTGGAGACCAGGGCTGGTCCCTTCGTGTCTTCCATTTCTCTTTCTAGCACATTTTGGCGGGTTGAATCCAGAATGGAATGACGATCCAGAGTAGCCGAAAACTCAGGAAGGCAGGAAACAGAGGTGATGCCCCCAAAAGCTCTGTGTGGCAGAGGAGATCCTAAGACAGAGGCAGGGAAGCGACGGTGAAGATGGAAACCACCGTCCCCCCCCCCCCCGCCCCCCGCCAGCCCGCTCAGGGCGCAGGCTCTTACCTGTGTAGAAGCCTGTGTGGTTTGCAGCATCAGCTGCCAGCACCGCTGCTTCTCCCTTGACGATTTAACTCCGCGCCGAGTCTAGACCATTGTTCTACTGAAGAAGCATCAATGAATAGCAGGCCGTACCGATCTGAGCTACAGTCTGGCTCGGGAGAACTCTGGAAGGGAGCTAGAAGAAATTTTCCATGCCAGCTTATGTAATCCAGGGTCTAACCACAAATCCTGGCACACAGTCGCTGAATACGTCCTTGTTGGAGATGAATGAACTCTGTGCGAGTTACTTCTCCTGCTTCATCTGGAGAGTGAGGGGTTTTCCCTCATCTAAACCTGAAGACTTCGCACGGCTCCCGCACTCCGTAGTTCTATGGATTTCTAAGTAGTTACAAGCAGAGTAGAGGTCAGCAATGAACACCAGGGGTTTCCTCCATTTCCTGGTCAGAGTAAAACAGACTTTAATGAGGGCAGAAAAAGAATCAGGAAGGCTCCGATTTTCCAGGGCTGAGCTGAAATAATACCATTAGTCATGGCTGCGTTTCTCAGCATTGGTGTCAGGCGCACAGATCAAAAGTTTACCTTTTGCGTATGAGCGGAGTTTATTTGCCAAAAATGAATTCATCAGAATTTGCCTGCAGGATTCAAGACACGTGGCTGGAACGGGCATGAGACAGAGATGAGGCCTGTGTGGGCTGGCCAGGTGACTGGGGCTGCCCGGCTGGTGTAACCGAAAGAGCACCCATGAAAGGCTCTTTGCCCAGTGATTTTCTTCTGTTAGCCTACTTCAGTGCCTAAAGTTCCCACCTTTGAGTTAAGGCCTTGAAAGCTGATGTCCAGATGCTCCAGTATGTGGAGAGACGTTAACTCAAAACATCTGCATCTGTTCCCATGTTCGGAGACTAATTTTCTCAAACAGCAATGATGATATTTGCAACCCGTTCTTGAGCACTAATCCCGTACCCAGCACTTTATCCACTGTGGACGCGTTTCAGTCCGTGTCATGCACCCCACCGCCAACGTACAAAACACACTATCCTCGCTTACAGCGGGGAAGGGAGGCTTGGCAAGAGCCAGAGGTCACACAACCCTAAATGGATTCAAACCCAGATCTGCCAATTCTAGATTCTCTCTTCTTCTTCTTTTTAATGGTATAACTTCTACACAGTGAGGTGCACAATCTTAAATGTATAGCTGGATGAGTGATTACATATGTGTACTCTCATACAACTAGCACTCAGACCAAAATAGGGAACATTTCCAGCACCCCAGGAGGCTCCTTCATGTCCCCTCCTGGCTGGCCCCCCAGCATCTCTCTCCTGCATGCGTAAGGCTTTGGTTCTATGAAGGGGGGTGGTAGCCCAGGCAAGCTCAGGGAGAAAGGAAATGGTCCAAAACAAAGAATATGGGGTGGTGGGGGAGCGGGGAGGGAGGCTACATGGGGGAACTGCCTTGGGGAAAGCCAAGGTCTTGTCCTCAGGCACCACCTGCTCCTGCCACACAGCCAGCCCCGGCCCATGTAGCTGGGACAACAAGCAGCACCTCCAAAGCATGTGTGCAGAGACGCGGCGGGAGCGCGGGACCTGCCTAGCAAGCAGGGCCCGTCTCTCCCGCTGCCCGGAATCCCGGACTCTAACAAGCAGGATGCTGACAAATGAAAAGGAGATGTGTGTACTGGCATGGCGTCCACGGGGCAGGAACACAGGCCAACCCAGGGCTCCCACAGGAAGTTTCAAACCCACTTTGTAATTCTTCGTTGAGCTATCATCAACTCTTCCCAGATCCAATATTGTGTTTTTGCTTTGCTCAGTTTAAGTCCAGCTTCTCCGATTGTCTTTCCGTCTGCCCTACGGTTTGGGATGCTAGCTGGGGATTGTACAAACTCCTGGGGCTTCTGTGCGGCATTTCAGCTGCGTGCTCTCCGAGCGGGCTCCTCGGCAAGCTGCCAAGGGTTGACTGGAGGCTTGTGGGTGATTCTTCTTATCAGTTCTCCTTAAATATGCCTCACTCTATCTCCAGATCTGAAGGCTTACAGAGTTGGCAGGTTTAGACACACCTCAGGGCAATTCTGTGTCTCAGTCTGTGGGGCAGCTGCAGACGAAGAGGACGAGCTACATGCATGGCTTTCTGCCGACGGGGAAGGAGGAGCAAGATTTGGCAAAGGGGGGCAAGGTTGAAGAAAGAGGGAGGAGGAGGAAGAGGAGTATGAAGAGTGGAAGGAGAGAGGGAGAAGGAGCGAGGGAGGCAACGGGAAGAGGAGGAGGGAAGAGAGAGGAAGAAGAATACAGAGAACAAGTCCAGGAAGGAGAGATACAGTTCAGAGTTTGAGAGGACAGGAGAAGACTGTACGACTGGCCAAATTGGGCTTTTGAAGGCTTAATTATCTATGTGAATTCTCAACAACCAAAGAGCTGAGTAGTGCCAGGCACCTACCTCAGCCGGTGCCCACGGGAAACTGGGGGCCGATCACGGCAAAGTGTTCTGCCCCGTGGGGTCTGTAAGTGCACTCACATTTAGCAGACCACGGGGTCACTATATACATAGCGGTGGAAAGACGTCTGGCCCTCGTCAGCCGTGTCCAACTTACACATCTGAGAAACTATTACAGGTGGGAGGGATAGGAGCAAACAGAACCAGTTCAGGGCTGCTCACTCTCTTCTTCACAACTGCCCCGGGGGAGATTTCTTTAGCCGTGATCAGTTATGCTAACCTGGACACACGGCTTTTCAGAACATTCTAGCTAAGAAGTCAGGGAAGCATGAAATTTACCTTGAAGAAAGTTCTATCTAAACTGTTTAAAAAGTTCTGTTTCATCTTTACAGCTAAAACCGAGCCCCCCAGAATGGTGTATCCCCACCCCTGTCCCCCAGGGGGTCTCCAGAGCACAGGTTTTCCTGCATGCGTTTGTCATCGAAGTTGGAGAAGGCCTCAGAGATCTGCTAAGTGGTGGGTCTGTTAGGCTAGGTTTGGGGAGCAATAAAACACTTTACTTTTTAGCACTGATTTAGCATTCGGTAATATCCCTTGCTAGTCAAAAGGTACTTAAAGTTCAAAAAATTCAGCCTCTACCAATAAAGAAACTCACTTTGAAGCATATGAAAATAGTGGCTCAAATGTATAAGGATATTCTCTTGGCATTTTTTCTGAAATTGACAAACAGAGAAGTGCTGATAATCATTGCACAGAAGTCAGAATTCTGAATCTAGCAATCTAAGTTCACATCTTAGAAAAGCTGCCCACAGAAGGCATCTTAGTGAACTAGAAACACTAGAAACCAGAGGATTTTAGTTTTACTAAACAGGTAAAAGAGGGAAGAAGAGGTGTGAAGGACCTGCCTAGCAAGCAGCGCTGGTCTCTCCTGCTGCCGGGAATCCCAGTCTCTAACAAGAAGCAGAATGCTGACAAATCCACGAAATGGGTAAGTCATATATTTATTTACTCATTCGTTCCAGAAATATTTTCTTGAGCACTTAGTATGTGCCAGACCCTCCTGATTCTGAGGATATAGAGAGGAAAGGCTCGTTCCTACCACCTTGTCCTTCTTCACAGAATGTAGGCAAATTGTACCTAATTATTTTGAAGCCTGCAGTGTAATTTGGCTTCTTGCATTAGACTATAGAACTGCCCAAGAGAGGTAACTGTGCTATTTATTGTTCACCTTCCTTTCTCCATCAGCTAAGGCAATATTTGGCACATGGTATTTGCTCAGCAAAGATTCATCAAATGAAGGAGTTTATCATAAGCTAACATTTACATAACTTACACTGGTTATTTCATTCAATCTTCTCAACAACCCCTTGAGGTAGGTCCTCATCTTCCCATGTTACAGTCGGGAAAACTGGCCATGGGGCACATAGCAAAACTGGAATTCAAACCCATACAATTTGGTGCCAGCATCCATGCTCTTCTCCCCTATCCTATACTGCCTCTGAACGGACCGATAAATAAATGAACTAATAAAGGAGTGAATGAATGAATGAATTAAAGTAGTTCACAGATTCTGGGCTTTAGAATCATTAATTGCAATATGAGGATCCCAGATAGTGTTCCTTAACTTTTCCACCAAAGTTTAATATAAGTTCTTTTAACCAACCACCTGACTAGATCATCAGCGGGTACTCTCCATTTGTTATTTGAAATGCACTATCTGATGCACAGGGATGGTGGAGGTTAGGGGCCTGTGTCCTCTCTCGCACACCCTTGTACTTCTGTTACTGCCACTTGAGTTGTATCATTCCCAAATCTGGGTGTGGCCTGTTGTACCTATTATAATTATATGATTCAATTAAATATTATTTAAGTGTGTAGATTATGATTACAAAAGAAACAGAGCTGTGTGAAAACTATACTGTTTAGGTGGTAAACAGGCAAGAATGGATTTTTGTCTGTGTGTTTGAAATATTTTTAAACAGACAGCGAATGCTGGAAAGCTATGTAAAAACATTGGAAATATTTAAGAAATGCAAGTGACTTGCATTTGCAAATTGCTTCCAAATACCGTGTGGAAGAGACAACAGGGAAAGAATTGTAGAACATCTTGATAGATTTTTCACTTAAATTGCTTTGCCAGTGGCTTCAGATTTTCACCAGGACCAGGCACGTAGGGATATTAGCCAATAAGAAAATCCAATCAATGAACCCACTGTCATGAAATCCCCTTAGACTGACATCAAAAGATAAGGGAAGGAATATACATTTATATATTTTATATGTAGTATACATTATATATATTTATGTAAATGTATATATTTATAAATATTTTAAGATAAAATAAGACATTTCAGGCAAGCATGCAGCATTTTCTAGGATTCTCATACTTAATCATTCCAGCGGGTGCACATACATTTCAAGAAACTTCTTCAAAGTCTTATGTTTCATCCTAAAGTTTATATGAGATTTGCACCCCATTCTGTGGTAGATATTAATACTGTTCACTAACTATTTCTTATTTCTTCTGGGCACACAGTAGAGTTGCCCTTCTCTGACCCTCTTTGACGGTAGATAGGTCTATATGACCTTCTTTGGCCAATGAGGTGTATGAGTGGAAATGACAGCTGCCGCTTCCAGGTGAGTATATTACAACCTAGCTCATGATTTACCCCTTGTCTTTTCCTTCGCTAAGACAATAGACAAAGTTCTACAGAGAGTCTGTTCCATCAATCTGGATTCTGGAATGAGAACAACATGGAACACAGGCCGCAGCGGACCGTCATGGACATGTTGCATGAATGAGAAGTAAGTTTGTTGTCTTAAATCGCTGAGATTGGACGTTCTTGGTTAGTAGAGCATAATCTAATCTATCCTAATACATACTTCATGACATATTTGTACTTGTTTAAACATATAAATGTATTCCCCTCCCAATCTGAAGATACACTTAGCATTCCAGAGAGACACCCCACATTTACTTAGTGACTTAGGGTACTGCTTATCCTTTTTTCCCATAGGAGAAGTAGAGAACCAGAGGTTTCTAGAATCCCTTCAAATGCTAATATTATGTCACACTATGTATGAGGAAAGAACAGGCACAGTAAAGACTGTGCCTATATGTCACTTCAGTAAATGAAATAAAATAAAATTAATTTGATGGCAGAGCTATTACATCTGATTGTGGAGCAACTGATTAGATTTCCATAGAGTCAATCTGATTTGGTCATTCTTGTTTCGATTGTCTTAAGGAGGGAACTGGATGGCACAGAGATCCAATGAATTGTTTTGGCAACTGGCCTGCCAAATGTTGGCCATTTAGCCAGTGCCACAGCTTAACCCTAGGGAAAATCAGATGCACTTGCATGCCGAATTCAAGCATTTTTCCCTACAAGCCGCTATGTGTCAAGCACTGTCCTATAATGAAAAATATTTATCAGCTGTAAATATTTAAAATGTGCAGTCTCCCCTGTATACATGCCACACCAAGAGATCTAAATATTTTGTGATGCTATAAACTTTGATTAGGTCAGGCTTCAATTTTAAACTCTGCATAGAGCTCTCCCCTGCAGAGCTTCATTTCAATCTCTCTTAGGATCAAAAGTGGATTATTCCTTGCCCTTAAAAACAACCAAGTCTGAGTCCATTGATTCAGAATGAAAGTTACTTGTGCAACGGTGGAGGGCGGACTCCAGCCCCAGGGACTTGTTTGTTCTCGTCATTCTCGCGTGCACTCAAAACAATGCTCGGGCTTATTGTAGGGGCTGAAAGAAAAGGAATGAAGAAGGCAATGAGCAATTAACTAATGATGGAGAAGCACCAATATTCCTTGGTTTCAGTTATTTTCCAGAAGTGAAAGGAGTGTTCTTCTGAACACATGAAGCAATATAGCCTCACGGTTAAGTGCTCTGGGTTTGCAGTTAGTTGAGCGGGAATTTGATTTCTGATCTTTGCAGCGTGGCAGATTGTTTTTCCCAAAGATAGTCACAAGGATACCTCCCATGCCTCACACTCTTTTTGCAATATGAACTTGCCACTCCCCTATCATGAGGTAGTCCCTTTTTCCACTGTATTGAATCTGGGTGAACTCTGACTGGTTTGAGCAATATAATTAGCAGAAGTAACAATGCACCAGATACAGACGTAGCTCTTAACTGATCTGGCACTTTCTGTTTCCTGTCTCTTGGAAGCCAGCCACCAGGTAAAAAGCAGAACTCTCTGAAACATGAAGGTTCTGGTTGGACTACTCCTTGGATGATGCAAACACAGAGAAATGATACGTTTTGAGAGAAAATAGGATGGATTTGTTATCAGACACGTTGAATTTGCTTTACCTTTGGGACACACAATTTTAGTAGGCAGTTGGCTATTCAGATTTGAAACTCAAAAGAGAGATAAGTATTAGAAATATAAATTTGGGCGTTAACAGCAAATAAATGGTACCTGGAGACATGGAAAGTTAGGAAGATAGATAGTAAATGAGATCATCTTTAAAAATAAAAAGCATATAGGATAAGAAAAGAAAGTGGGCCTGGGGTCAGAAATATGAGGAACACCATCGTATAGGAAAGAAAAGAAAGTGGGCCTGGTGCCATAAATATGAGGAACACCATCATTTAAGGAAAGGACAGAGGAAGAATAACCATAACAGAGATTAAGAACACAGGGTCCAGAAAGGTAGGTGACAACCCAGGAGAATTCTGCATCACAGTAGCAAAGCAAAATGGCTTCGAGAAAGAAGGTGCAATGAATTGTGCCAAATGCTGCTAAGATGTCAAGAGAGCTGAGGACAGATCTATTTGGCAAGACTGCAAAGCTAAAATCTCTGTTTTCCACTATCTCTTGCTGCTGGGGTTTTAGATCTGAATGAGGTTTCACTAATTAGATGCATTTGTTTGCAATTTGGAAAGTGAAATTGAGTAATCTTTCTGGAACTTTTGGCTGTTTCCATGCCCTTTGGTGATACATTTAGGAAAGCTGTATCTCAGTGCTGATTCCAGAGAACATACTAGCCAATAATGTTCTGGCCATCAAGGCCATCAAAAGCCAAGTCCAATTGTCTAAAATGCTTTTTAAAGGACACGATGGATGTAATGTATCAACAAATACTATGAAATTGATAGTCCACAGAGTGACCCTCCCTCAGGCTTTCAGATCTGGACATGCCATATAAAGAGACTCCGGAGAGCCATCTGCCTTCAATTCAAAGAACAAGACCCAGTTAAGCCATAAAACATGTCAGTTTGCATTAACCCACTCTGGCCAGGAGAACTGAATATGAAGAATCAAGATGGGGAAAAGGAATGTTTGAAGGGCCGGCATGCAGAAACCCACCTCCAACTGATACAACAGAGTTTGGGGCTACGGAGATGATAAAGTAACAGATAGACTTATACAAGAACAGCAAAGGGACTCAGGCTGGCTTCTTCTGTGCATCGAAAAACTCGCACAGACAGCTATGAAGGTACCAGGTTCAGCAGACCCTGGTTGCTGCCTGGAGCTAAAGGATTATGTTTACTTGGATGGTGGATATGTTACTTCTGACGAAGATCAGAAGACTTTTCAGCTGCTATAATTGGTGACAATTTTAGAAAGAACTCTACACTGCACAAAGTTTTTCCCATTTAGTATGTCTCTTCCACAGCTTTCTTCTGGGAGAGATAGGAAAAGGAATTAATCTCATTACTCCTTGGGCTAAATTTTGGCAAGGCAAGGTTGAAGAATTTCCTAAGGTCATAAGCAGAAGCAATCTTCTTAAGAGTTTTGTAAGTTGCTCAGTAATTCTGATGAGATGTCCCAAATATGTAGTTGTTTACAGTTTTTAAAGAACTCTATTTCATTTCATTCTTGTCACATCCCTAATAAGGAAAATAAGGCAAGTGTTCATACTTGTTTCCATTTCACAGATGAAGAAACTGAGATTCTACGGAGTTTGACTTAACTAGTTCATATCACTAAAAGCAGCAGAGCAGAAGTAGAATGGTGGTTCTCTTTCTCGGTCTTTTGGTGAACTCTACAGGTTGATTAAAGATTAGTCCAGCTTAGGGGTGCCTGGGTGGCTCAGTTGGTTAAGCGACTGCCTTCGGCTCAGGTCATGATCCTGGAGTTCCGGGATCGAGTCCCTCATGGGGCTCCCTGCTCGGCAGGGAGTCTGCTTCTCCCTCTGACCCTCCCCCCTCTCATGTGCTCTCTCTCTATCTCATTCTGTCTCAAATAAATAAATAAAATCTTAAAAAAAAAAAAAAAGATTAGTTCAGCTTGGGGACGCCAGAGTGGCTCAGTTGGTTAGGCATCGACTCTTGGTTTCAGCTCAGGTCATGATCTCAGAGTCCTGAGATTGATCCTAATGCCGGGCTCCACGCTCAGTGCAGAGTCTGCTTGAGGATTCTCTCTCTCCCTCTCCCTATGTTCCTCCCCCTGCTCATGCTTTCTCTCTCTCTTTCTCTCTAAAATAAATAAAATAAAACATTTAAAAAAAGAAGACAGTCCAGCTTGATTTACAAAAGTTGAGGTTTGCTCGGAGCCTATAAAATTCACAAAAAGCAACCAAGAAATACATTCTGGGATAGCCTGGGGCTTCAAGGTCAAGAGAAATATTCAGTGCTTTTCTAACCAAGCTGTGTAAGTAATTTGATATGATGAGAAAATGATAATAGGCAAATATGGTACTGTAGTTAATGGTTCAGCATTGATTATCAGCACCAAATGTCTAAAACTTCCTCAGTTTCTTTGTACCCTAAGTTTTCCCAGTCTGGTGGGAGGATGCCTGGAGGCTCAAGAGGGTCACAAGTACTCATAAGAAAATGGCCAATTCTCTACCATGTCTTCCTGCTCTGTAGGTTCACTCTCACTTCCTCCCTTGGAACTGAAATATAATGCAGCATAGCTACAAAGTACATGCAAACATTTTTCACAACTTTTCCTTTTGCCTCTACCAGAGATCAGAGTTTTGGCATCTTTATCATGTCATTAATTTTAGTTATGTTCTGAACACAGAGTGAGGAGGTCTTCAAGGCTATGGGTGACTGACAGTGTTTAGACAAGTCCAATTAAGTTTCCTATGTTTAGATAATCTTGGGAAGATAAATAAATCATTGAAACTTTCATTATGAAAATTGCCATTTGGCAAAATGGTGATGTTTCTCCTGGGAAACAATGAAGATTTATGTCAGGAGGAAGGGTACAGCCAGTCGAGCGTAGCCTGCCAGGAGTAGCATTCCTACCATGGAATGAACTGAACAAAACATCTAGTTCAACTCTGTTTGTGCATGTCACTCTTCCCCCAATCCCCAGACCCCCTTTCCAGCCTTTTTTTCTTGGTAAAGTTGTGAACCAAAGATACTTCGTTCACTCAAGTTCTTCAGACAGGTTTGTGGTGAGGAGGCAATGTCCAGCACACCTGCATCCTGCTATCTGATTCCCAGGGCCTCCCGCTACCCTGTTCTGCCCTTAAAGTGCCTGTCTTCGCCCAGGCTTCCTTTCTACCCAGGTGTAGCCCTAATACAAGTGAAAATTGAAGGAGTTTTCTAGTTCTTCTAGAATTTTCACCTGGAGCAGTAACCACCCTCCTTTGTGGCTTGTTCCTGCTCCTTCCCTACATCTCCAGGGCATCTGGGATTGATGCTTATGAAGATCTCAGAAGTCATTAGGAAGATCAATGAAATGTGCATGCAAACTATTCAATGGCATTATGGGATTTTTGTTAAGTTTGTTAATGCCGGTGGTGGTTATGTAAATTTTTTTTAAACGCTCATAAGTTGGGGATACATCCTGAAGCACTCCAGATGAAATGGCATAATATCTGAATTGGATTTTAACATACTTCAGAAAAAAACGGTTGTGATGGAGACAGAAACCACACTATTTATGGTAACAAGGAATAAAGAATTATTAACCAGGTCACTGACAAGCAAAGAGAACCAGTGGGATCATGGAAGTATTGTGGAAGTAGCAACTGCAGGAAATAGTTACTGCCCCAGGGTTGGAAAACAAGGGAAGGGATGGAATTATCAAGACCTAGAGGCTTGGAGTAAGTGCCCCACTCAGCTGGCCACAGACCTCTGAGAAGACCGCTAGAGCCTGAGCTCCAGGACGGGCTCTGGAGGCCGTGGACCGGGCTCTGGAGAGTGCTCTCTGGCCTCCTGGGGCTGGTGCCTTTGAGGAGGCTGGTGAGGCTGGTCGTGTGAGTGTTAGAAAACCGGCAGCTAGCTACCACCTTTACCCTGGCAAAGGACGGCCACTGCTGCCCCGGTGAAGCAGTCCTGCAAGGTGGTATGAGCAGGAAGCAAACAGGAAGAAGCAAGTCCCTTCTTCCTCCTCCAGCCTCAGTCTCCCTCGAGCACCTGCCATTGGCAGAGTCCAACAGGGAGTCGGTTGACAAAACTGAAGTGAGGTTTGAAGAGCTCCAGTTCCAGCATCTCAAAGAGAACATGCGAGGGTGGGTTTGGAGGTGAGATAACAGCTCCATAACAGTACGAGGGTGGCACGCAGACCAGGATTGCCAGACAGAGGCTAATGGTCGGAGCTGGGTGATGCGTACATGAGGCTTGACCCACTATTCTCTCTGCCTTTGTATACGTTCAAACATTTCCTATAACATGAAGTTAAGATGAAAAGGAGCCCACTTGAAAAAGAAATCTTCTTTTAAACTTTTGGTGTTATTATTATTATTATTAATATATCAAAAATAACAAAATGATTTTAATAGAAATAAAACTTTTTTCAAAGATCTATCTACAATTCTGCCATTCAAAAAAACCAAATT